GGTTGGAGGCCATCGCTTTAGGTGGCGGCCATCGCTATTAGGTTGGAGGCCGTCGCTCTTAGGTTGGAGGCCGCCTCCATCGCTCTTAGGTTGAAGGCCATCGCTCTTAGGTTGGAGGCCATCGCTGTTAGGGTGGCGGCCAGCGCTATGAGGTTGGCGGCCATCGCTATTAGGTCGGAGGAAGCTTTCTTTGGGGAAGCTTTCCCAATGCCTTACTCTCGCTTTTGAGTTCTCCAGAGTCGTTGCGTGGCTGGGACTCGTTTGCGCTGGGATGTTTCTCGGCCCGTTTGGGATGGCTCAAGGTGCGTGGAAAGGCTTTTCAAACCGGTCCGGACCCGCCATTGTTGCGGCTCCAACAACTTTTCCCTCCGTTCCCTCTATAGCAGATGTATCTTCAGTGAATCGGGAGGCCAATTGAAGATCGGTCGTGAAATTCCTGTATTAATACACTGGGATCCTTTACTACCATCCCACACATGTTGGAAGTGAATTCCCTCTCCTAAGCTAAATGTATATATATATACGTAGGTATTCCTGATCCATCCTGATCCCCCAACATGCACGACCTGCCCCCGTCAACCACGCAAAAGCGACCGAACGCTTGGCGTGCCAAACACTGATTCACCTGGATTCACGGACGCACAGCGCCTGGCAACGTCCAACTTCCAGCGAGTCAGAACCGCTGCCACGCCGAACGGCGTGGAGTTTATGTTATAGTCGTGCTGGTCACTGGAAATTCAACGAGATGTAAGTGTAACAAGCCCAAACCAGGACTGTTTCATGATGTAAAAGTGTTGGACACTCTGACTCACTCACCTGAAAGTGGATATCACCCCTTGTTTCTGAAAGAAAGTTGTCCTCCGTTCCGGACCATGCCCTCCACTTCCATGGACAGTCAGAGTGTACAACTCTTCAGCTTGGCAGCCTGGCCATCCATGTCGGACTGTCGGACAACGTATCCCAGCAAAGAGGATAGCTCTTCGCAAGCTCGCTGTTGAAAGTGTGACATGTAGCTCCATCTCGGGGGTGAGCATATTCCATTCCAAGAAATATTTTGAAGGCAAGGTGACCTCCTAACTATGGACATCTTGCAAATGGGCAAGAGTGTTTTAGGATTCTGAGGAATCGCTAGTCCCAAAGACGACCCACGTGAGTTGCAACAGTGAACCAGCGCAGCAAGCTATACAATCCGTGAATTGCTGGCCACGTGAACGCGGCGCATTCTTCCGGCCAAACCCAGAAGACCTGCAACTCGCAATCCTCTCGCGTCGGCCCTGTCTCTTTCAGCCCCTGTTGCTTGAGTTGAGGCAACGGAACAGACCCACCATCGCGGCAAGATGGAGCCGCACACGAAGAGCTAAGAGCCGCGAATATCCGCCATTATGTTCATCGTCAAGTCATGGACCTGGGGCCTGGGGTAAATGAATGTCAAGATTATTCAAGATTTGAGGATTTAAGGACCACTTCCAAAAGGAGGGCATGTGATGTAGATTTGATGAAACAAGATACAATCAACAAGTCTTCCACCCTATGAATGAACAATTGATGTGAATCGACATCAACTCAATTGCAGTGGTGGTTGAAACCCCCTGTGCAAGTCTAGGGTCCTCATGGGAATGCCAGCCGACACCCGCTATTGACCTTGTGCCCGAAAAAAATGGGGTGGCTGGTCATAGCAGACGAGCTACAGGTGTCACAAAAAGCTGTCCCAGAAAAGGTGCCGCCCACAAATTCTTGGTGGGTGGTAGTGTCAATGCGACCATCAATCAGTCTATACATGCCTATACAGTTTTGTTTTGCCATGAAGCCAGGTTTGCCAGAACCTCGTTGGGCAGTATTTTGTTCATTTCCGCTTAACTTCATTTAGGCAGAACATTCAGCCCGTTTTCACAAAGAACGGCTAAGCTGCAGCCTCAGGAGGCAGAAACCAGAATTGGATGGACCTACTTTTGAGAAAATTTACACTTAAATTAAGCTACCGACGACGCTAACGACCAGTATGTCCCCGGTCTAAAGTACACTCATGTCACTCACTTCCACCCAAAAGAAAACCATTTCGTGGCCCAACTACTGATACGTAAAGGGTAAGAACGCCTAAACATAAAAAGATATTGGAACAACATTAGAACAATGAAACAAAGCATAGAAACACACAAAAGTGAAACATCAAGTGAATTCCTGATAAATAAATGCACTTCATCTCTCTGGAAGTTCCTGGAATCTATATTTGAGCATTGCCACCAAAGGAAAAGAACGCCTAGAGGGGACAAGAAATGACCAGAACGCCCACTTCGGGGCAGACAAAGCACCCCGTACCCACAAAAAAAGGTATAAATGTCCCAAAGGGTTCTTAAAACATGTGCCCAAACTGATGTCTCAAGTGATCCCACCAATCCATGGAGCAATCAGTCCATGTTTCGATAAAGCTGAAACAAAGACGGTGCGGCGCTCCAAATGTGTTGGCCAAATCTGTTTTCGAGGTCCTCTATGAACCTTGTACGTTTTGCTGAGATCTTTTGAATCCTTTCTTTGTTGCTTTTCAATCGCGGCTGGTTTTTTCGGCGAACCCTGTGCTGGTGACTGAAAAGGCAAAGAATGGCAAAGATGTTGGACATGCGAAGACGCTTGCATTTTTTGCTCGGCGGATCTACCAATTGTTTTAGCTTGATTAATAACATGCAATAACCCCCAATCCAAATGGGAGGGTTAATATGGGGTTATTGATCAAGATTCTACATTAATGCTTCATATCCCGCATGATGAGGGCGCTGTTTGACAAATGAGGCAGCAAGTGGTGCATCCATGCGAGAAAGAGGCATATTTGACGAAACAGTCGCGTCAGAGACCAGCCAACACCATCAACCAATTTCGAGCGGAAAGCTCGATTGTTCCACCAACGGGACGTTGATTCCCACGGGGCAGGACTAGACATGAAAGCTATGTATACTGATTTTGTTTAATTCTAATTTAATTCTAATTACAAGCTTCCTGTTTCTACTAGCTTCTTGTTAGCGATGCCAGGAGCCCCTAGTAGTGTCCTTGCTCCTAGACATGAAAGCTATGTATACCACGTTGTACTGGGTCGGACTGGCTCTTGGGTGCTTCCCACATCGAGCTGATTGCCGAAGGTGACCACAGTGCTTTCGAGAGGACCAGTTCAGTACTTTTACTCAGGTGAAAAAGCAAA